TTTGTGGCCAGGGTGCCACATGCCTAGCCAGGTTTGTGCTGTGGCTTAGCATGATATGGAGTAACACCTAAACTAAATCTGTGACTGTGTACCATGGGATAGTGCAAAACTCTTCCCTTGCAGGTTAGGGGAAGTGACTCTGAAGGATTTTAAGGCAGCTATTGATCGTGAAGGAACCCACCGGTACCACTTCAAAGCTCTGGATCCAGAGTTTGGCACGGTTAAGGAGGAGGTAGGTGTGGAATTTGGCCATCAGCCAGTATGGTGTGCAGTGTTACCACTTAACCCTGGAGACTTTGGTCATACTCACTTGTCAATGAATGAAGTTGCCTCAGAACAGTGTGCCATGTTTTCACAACTGTAGATTAGGCTTCTCTTGTAAAGCGCTAAAACAGGATGTTTTCATCCCCAGCCAGACCAATGACATGACTGTGATTGCAGTTACCTGTGGTTCGCAGAGCCCCTTGTGCGAAGAGCTGGCTATTTGTAAGGGCAATCTGTGACACAGCATTGCTCAGAGGACACTGGGCAAGAACCTGAACCACACTTCTAGCTCTGCAGTGGCTGTGTGAACTCTGTTGCAGTGAGAGACCCTGTAAGCAAATTAGATTTACTGAAAAACCATGTTCTCCTACTTTGTCTTTTAAAGGTTTTTCAGAGGTGATAGTGTTTTTGTGGCATCTTTTCCCTTGTATCCTGCATTACAGCCCCTGTTTGGGCAGTGGCTGGTGTTGGCGCTACTGTCACTTTAGCCCTTCACATTCATTAAAGGTTTTTGGGACGGTTCCTGTTTCACAAGTCGATAAAGGCAAGAGGGATTACCTTATTTGGCAACAGTCAGGTGACTAGGTAGCCGTTCTGCAGAAAACAGTTGTAAGTTGTGATGTGATAGATCACAAAAAGGCAAAGACAAGAAACATGCCATCTTTCCTTTTCAGAACAGCAATGACAACAACAATATTGACTGTTTTTGATTAGAGAAGGAGCCTAAGCTGTTTTTCCCCTAAAGCCTGAAGGGAATATTCAGGTCTGTGTCAATGTTGGATGAAATGTATGTTCCGTGGGCTGCGTGGTCTGAGCTAAGCTCTTTGATTTCATGCCTGCCTCTTCTTATGCCACTCGTGCAGGAAAGTGGTGTCCTAGCTCCAGAGGTGACTGGACTCACTTGCTTTTTTTTTTTATTATTTTATTTTTTCTTTTTTTTTCTTTTCTTTTAACAGGTATTCCATGATGATGACATCATTCCTGGTTGGGAGGGGAAAATTGTGGCCTGGGTAGAAGAAGACCATGGGGATAATTAATTGAACTTTTAGGTCCTTTCACTGTGGGAACCTGTAACTGGCTGCTGAGCTCAGAGAATGACCAAAAAGTATGTGTCCTGGAAGGAGCGCAATTCAAGCTAGGGCTTTTTTGCAAACAATGGGTAACGTGCTGTTGTATGCATGGACACCTGGCATCACACTTTCCATGGCCAAATGCAGACATGTGGTTGTAAGACTGAAATGACAGGTCTGTGGGAAGGAAACACCTTGCTTTGTCCTGTCAACTAAACCCTGAAGGCCTTAATGATGCATTTCTCCCTTCCCCTGCCTCTCCATTCCTGCAATGTCTGCGTAGCGGTTTGTGATCTGAGCATTTCAACGTTGGTTTGTTGTACACAGTATTATATAAATCTGCACTGGTGGCAGAAACGTGAAGCTTTGTCTTCATGAACCAGAAGATGCTGCTAGATTCTGTGAGCAGAAGGTCTGACTGACTCCAGCCCTGGACTTGCATGTGCTACAGGAGCAGGGTGAACTTTGTGGACAGTCCAGATGGACAGTATAGAGACCTGAGCTGGGAAGGGAAGACAGTCTTCTGAAGCCTTCATGCACTGTCTAAAGCGAAGATCATCAGCTTGGCAAAGCTCCTCTTCTCCCCAGATTCAGGCTTCCAATTCCTAGCCCTTCTTCTGCTGCCTGCCTTCCAAACTTGTGCTCACTTCTTGAGGTCCATTGTGGGTTTGCTTTGTTGCTCTGGGAACTCTGGTAACTTGGTGCTTGCTTATCTGCCGAAATATTTCATTTGTGGGAGGGAGCTGGAATCACCTGCTTGCCCAAAGTACTTTTAACTGCCCTCCTTGATGAGCCCCTTTCCCTGCACTCCTGCCCTCTCCTCTCTTCCAGCAAGGCAGATGGATTGTGCAACCAACAGACGTGTCTCTTCAGGTTTAAAGCAGTAGTGGGAGTCTGGGTGCTGCATCTGCCTCCTTTTTCCCTAGCCGCCTTTGTGCGGGCATCAGTGTGCACTGCTGTCCGCTGATTGCAAGGGCTCCCAAACGCATAGCCACGCTGGCAGGATAAACCCTGTCAGCACAGCACCCATTCCCACTCCTTGGGGTGCCTGAGGGAGCAGGAGACAAAGTGTTTGCTGGGAAGGTACAAACCCTGAAGTCTGTGAGGGTTTTGGATTCCTCCCCCCACCAATGGATTGCCTGTCTCTGCCCTTCAGCTGCCATGCAGCTCGACTGCCATGCAGTGCTGACTGTGGTTTGCAGCAGACACTGACTTAAAAGGTTGAACAGTGAGTCAAGGCTCTGCTCATCCTCGGTACGTGTGGCTCTGCCATGGGCTACGTGCGTGTCTGTGCTGTGCGTGAGGCTGGGAGACAGTGAACTTGGGTTTTATTGTTTTATATTAACATGTCCTTTTTGTAAACCTGTTCCTGTTTTTGGAATTATTTTATACCAGTTTACATCGTTGTCTGAGGACTGTGGATATTTTTATACCTGTGCAAGTCCTTTCTGTATATTTCTGCACGCATTATACTGTATTTTACTCCTTTTCCTAGTGGATGCTGAGATGTTTTTATATGGTCTCCTGCTAACACGGTGGGCTCGTAACTTTATTTTACTATGGAAATCCAACTACTTCCTACAGGGTTTTATATTTTGGCAGCTTGTAGAGACAGTAACAGTGCCACCTTTCTTCTCGCCGCTTTACTGTCCAGCAAAGAGCTCAAGACTCTCATGTGGCCCCATGCTGCACTGGCACAATATCTACAGCCTGCTGTTTTCTACAACTTGTTACAGTGATTTCTTTTCCTCACAGACAGCAGCCAGACTATCAATGGGAAAGTTAATGAAGGGAGCGTGGGGGAATGTATCTGTCTTGGAAAAGAAACGCAAATTATCTTCCTCCCTGGAACTGGTTTCTCTGTTGCATGATGTTTAGTGGTTTGCTGTAAGAGAGCATGGGGTTATCATAGTGAAATTCATTGTTGTATTTCAATTGCAAATTCTTCTCAAGTATTTCTTACTTCAGCTTTTACTTACTGGTTTTATTTCAGCTAGAACCACACACTGAGGCTGGCATTTTACAGAGACAAATAAGACCCTTTTCGAGGTCTGCACTTGCATTTCCCTATTGCCCTCTGCTACTCAAAGATGGGGCAGCCTGGTTTCGGAGGACTGAAGGCACAGGAGGTGGTTCACGTGACCAGAGCTTCTGATGGATAGGGTGTCAGTACAGCCTTGCCCAGAAGCTCTCCAGCCTTCCCATGGAGAAAATAGCTGTTAATTGACATAGGAGATAGTTTTTACTCTGGTTCAGAGGACTGTAACCACGGTCCTATCTCCTATCCTTACTTTCACTCCCGCCAGAGAACCAAGGAGTGAACTGGCTCTGGAAAGCTTTCTGCCACATGCTGTCCAGAGCAGGAACAGGATATACTGGCAAGGGAGTCAGGCTGGCATAAACTCTTGCTCCTTGGGGCTGGAGGTCACATACCTCTCATCAGTGTTAACATCGTGTATAAACCAGGACAAGAAAGGGCATGCCCCGAGACAGGGCTGACAGCAGTGCTCTTGTTCGTGGGTTCCTGGGGGCAGCCCTCATGGGGAGGCAGGGAGCTGATTTTGGGGAGTGATGCAAGAATTGCCTCGTTCTCCTTCCGTGTGGCACACGCACAATTCGGGTTCAGCCTCCTTTCTGCAGTGACGCCGCAGCCTTCTCTGGATTTTTTTTCCTTGGCCTGAGGGATAGAAATAAGTCTGAAGGAGGGAAAAAACAGCAGGCACAAGGCAAAGGGTGGCAAATGTTTGTGCCAGGTGCTTCTCTGGCTTTTAGCGGTCTGACTCTGTAGTAAGAGCAACTTCAGCGGATTTATACTGGGGGGAAGCGCCTAAAACTCAACAGCTAGGACTTGGCTTTTGACTGTTGTGCGTCTGTGTCTATTCCTCTCCCATTTTCTTCAGTGTTACTTCCCTCTTTCCTGTAATTGTGCCTGGATTATCGACCGCACGAGTGCTATACGTAAAACTACATTTCTCGTAGACGCTCTGGCGCTTGCGCTCGTGGCTCTAAAAGGGGCAGTTATTCCCAGGAAAAGAGGAAACCGCGGCCCCTCCGTCGGGCTTGGGCCCTTCCCGATAAAGCGCGGCCTCTGTGTCGCGGCCGGGCAGGGCCGG